TCTCCCTCTGCCTCCTCCCCTGCCTGTGCTTCCCTCTCTCTCTGTCTCTCTCAAATGAATAAATAAAATCTTTATAAAAAAAAAACATTAAAAAAAAAAGAAATTTAGATAACAGTTTAATAGGCCTCCAAAAGATGTCTAATATAAGTTCTAGAACCAGAAATTTCAGAGGCTGTCAGAATGCAATACAGATGACCCTGGAATAACATGGGTTTCAACTATGTGGGTCCACTTATATGCAGATCTTTTTTGATAAGTACAGTAAAGTACTATAAATGTTATTTTCTTTCCTTATGATTTTCTCGATAACATTTTATTTTCTTAGTTTATTGTAAGAATATAGTATATAACACATATAACATAAAATATGTGTTAATTGACTGTTTATGTTATTGGTAAGACTTCTGACTTAGTCAAGTTTCAACTCCTGAGGGGGAGAGGGTATCTCTAACCCCTGTGTTGTTCAAGGGTCACCATAACTAGCAAGAGGATAGTCTACCTGGAAATAAAGCATGGAATCCAGGAAAACAGAAGTGTCAGTAAATTATTTTTACTTTCTTCTAAATAAAAATGGAATTTGTTTTTTATAAAACTGAATTTTTCTTTTACAAGGTGAAATTTAAAATTATTGTATGTTCCATGTCCAAAATATGGAAAATATAAATAAGCAAAAAAGGCAAATTAAAAGTCATCTTCATTCTCAGCAGGCAGACATAGCCACTGTTAATATTAGTGAAAGTAGATCTGGTATTATCTCTATGCATATTTTTTATAAAAATGCTATATCACTCAAATTGTCTTTATCTCTTTTTGTATTCTATACAAATATCTTTCCGTACCATCAGTTAATATTCTGCAACTCCTGTTTAAGAGCTAGGTAGCATTCAATCACATAAAAGTACTTGATTGAACAATCCACTCTCCATTGTTTACATTTTTACAACCTTTCCCTTGGTTTTGGATACCCTGAACTTCCAGTTTGAGCAGGATCTTCTAAAAATTTAAAAATAGTCTTTTCCAAATCAGAAGTTTCTGCCAAATAGCATATCTAAAGACTATAAATATAAATAACAAGAATGTTAAGGACACTGGGGGAAAAATGTCTATTTTGTCAGATTTTAGTTTTTAAAATAATGCAACCCAAGTATTTGATTTTGAATCCCATTACAAGCAATATTAGTAGAAGTAGATGAACACTTCAATTTGACTGTGTAATTTATTTTCATAAAAATCTCTTTAGAGATCCCTGTCCAGTCAGCAAATAATTGCTTTAACTTTGGATTTTAATATTAGCACTGAATGATTTATGTACATTAAATAATGTAATTCTCACTAACCATTTATGAGCCAAGAATGATTATCTCCCTTCTGTGGATAATCACACTTTAGGGAAGAAAGGTTAAGTGGTTTGCCTGAGATCACTCAGCCAGTCAATGGATTATCTCAAAATATGATCCTTAAGTCTTTAAATCATTAGACTTGGCTGGCCTCGGCAATACTTGAGAGGCATAAGGGATATGTACTTAGATTTTTCCTCGAATGATTTATGTAGCATAATGTCTAATTTGTTTATAGAGCATTTTTTCATTTCTTATCGCACAATTTGATCTATAAGCAAATATGAGACATTATAAAAATGAACATGATAAGAATCTACATGTAGAAAAATCTCTGGTAGAATTAGAGTATCAATTTCCAAAATAGTTCATAGATCTAGCAGACAATAGAATCAGCCATTTGGTGGGAGGGTCTGGGGAAGAAATGAAGGCGGTAACAGGAAGCAGATAGAGTGGCATCCTTCTATAAGATTGCAGTTCATGGTTAGATTTTAACAAGCACTGAATGAAACAAATAAAAAGAGATCTTACTATTTCTTAATAAGAACACGTGCATTCCCTGAGAAATATTTCCTCCATCTCCAGTATAAAGCATCTGTACATGTCTCCCTGCCCATATCAACTATAATGACAAATGTGCTTCATATATCCCTATAATATATAATTCACACAAATGGGATGCTCTAAAGGTCATTCCTAGAACTGAAGAATTTTCAACAGTGATCTGATCAAAATTAGAAGTGACCTTGGTAAACTAGATCAGAAGCCAAAAAAAGTAGCGGAATGCTGTATTAAAAGGACCATATCAGGGTGCCTGGGTGGCTCAAAAAGGACCATATCAGATTTGTATTTCTAGGTAAGGGGGAAGAGGAACTGATAAATGATTTAACCAATGATAACCAGTTTTTAATAAAACTGACTTTTTCTTTTAAAAGTAGAATTACCAACTGATCCTGGTTTGCTAGGCACTTACCTGGTTTTAGCCCTGAAAAGTCCTGCATCTTGGAAAAGCTCTCAGTCATGCCCAAACTGGGGCAGTTGGTCAATATTAAAAATAAAAATTTGGTGTGTTCATTGTCTAAAATGTAGCAAATACAAATAAGCGAAACTGAGCATGAAAATCATTCATACTTACAGTGTGCACAGAGAGCCACTTTTAATATTAGTAAATGTGCTTCTAATATCTCTATGGAATAGATTTCATAACAATACAGGTTACTGTTATTACATATGGCAAATGACAGGGTAATATCATTTGAATTGTCTTTTAAAATTCTATTTAACTTTATGCCAAGCACTTTAGTATGTATACCTTTTCATCTGATTGCATTACTCTATAAACTGTGATAAATTTTCAATTTTGTATTGGTCATTTCCGCTATTCATTCTACAAATTCCCTTAACCTTATACTTTTCTTTATCTCTGAGACACAGTACCAGCTAGTACATTAGCGGCATGCTTTCTGAGTTCTGATAACTATATCACAGTGTAATCTCACTGCTCAGGGGTATGCAGCCTTTCATTTCTTATTCCATTTCTATTTCCCCTGTAGGCCAGGGAGGGGAAATTTCTACCTAGGCAGTTTAGCATCATTTAACATTGCTGTTACTTGTCCAACAGTCTCCTACATGAGTGAGACCGTATGTCAACCACAGTTAGCACTAAAAATTTATTATTACCTACTTATACAGAAAAGCTCTTTTTGTTTTGTGGGGGTTTAACTTTCTGAAAGCATTTCAAGTCCTGATTTAGAGACAGAAAGAGAGAAGGAAAATAAAATTTCAGTATTAGAAAAGAAATCTATCTTTTATCTATCCTAAAATGTCCGCCCTTGGTTGGGGCCATATTTCAGGACTATTATGATCCAGAAAGTACCTCTTGTCATTGAAGAAGTACTTACCAACCATGTGCGAAGTTACCCTGTTCTTGCCAGTAGCACATAGAATAATGGCCTCTTCTGTTTTATGTCTAGCTACACAATCCCTGTTGGCAGCCCTCCTGTTGCTTGCATGATTGAAATGATTGCAAATGGAAAACCTCCAATACAGAAGAAAGACACAGAGATACCCCATGTCTCTCAGGTAGTTATGCAAATATTCAGTTCCAAACATTACTAAGTGTGCCCTCAATATCTGAAATAAGTATTTCTTTTTAAGTTACTAAACACTAAGCATATTTCTTTATTGAACAGATTCCTTGTAAGAGCTCTCAACAAAACACCAGAATAGTCATCTCTGATACTTTAGGTACAATTAAATATATTTAATACTGCCTGTTGCTATAAAAGTTGTATTAAATTTATCAAGAAATTGATTTTCCTCTCACACTTTGCATATAATATATTATGCTTGATTAAGAAAAACAGCACAGGAATGGGGAAAAATTAGCAAGTTACAAAACAGTGCTTAAAACTTCCATTTTTATAGTATATGGTAGTGCTTATTATATGCTATTAAAAAGTCCCTTCTCAGGGAATTTTTCTTAGAAACATTGAATGAAGAAAATTGAAAGAAGAGAGGATGTTTGTCCCTCCAGAGACCAGGCAATTTGCTGAATTCTTTTAATTTTAATGATGTGGTTGGTTACATGCTTCTTAGTATGGCTTTATAGAAATACATTTAAGATAAAGAATTCCTGGTTCATTTGATCATCATGGAGAGTTAATCTATATAATTAGAGCTCCAAAGTGCTAATTTTGGTGCACATTAGAGCTGGCAGTGTGTAGGGCCCTAATGAATTGGAAATTTCATTTTATTTCCATTTTTTCTATGTAGTTTTTTTCTCTTACTGAGTGTATACCGGCATCCTAAAGAAGCATATAAGAATAGCTAACATTTGCATAAGCACCTTACATTTTCCAAATTATGGCCATGTATTTTATCTCATCTGATCTTCACAAGAGCCTTCTAAATTAAGAATGAATATCTTTTTTACAAGGTCGTATCTGATAAAACTGAGTATCAAATGTCCAAAATTTCATAGTGATAATGAAAGAGACTTGATCCCTGGTTTTCTGATTCCCAACGTGGTTTGTTGTTTTTGTTCCTTTTAAACACTTTACTGTACTTCATTTTCTGCTCCAGCAGATTGCAAACTGTCAAGTGAATTATTAAGGTAGGAATAAAACTGGTTTTCGTTTTGAAGAAAAAACAAAACAAAAACAAAAACAGACTCTTAAATACAAAGAACGAACTGGATGTTGCCAGAGGGGAGGCTGGTGAGGGGATGAGTAAAACAGGTGAAGGGGATTAAGAGTACACTTATTGTGATGAACACTGAGTAGTGTATAGGATTGTTGAATCATTACATTGTAAACCCAAATCTAATATAACACTGTATATTAACTATACATCAGTTAAAAAAAAAGTCATGCTAGAGTCCAAGATGGCCAAATACTTAGATTCAAGACACAGACTATTCAAATGGTGGAAAATCTATGAAACACTTACAGTTTTGTGAAAAATCTAATGTAAAGCAGTCAGTGTGATTTTATCTCTATTTACTCCCTATAGTCATCCATTTTTTTATATTGAAAGCTCCATACTTTATAATTAATGACACGCAATATGCTACAAACAAAAGAGCACAGGGGAAAAAAAAGAGAGGCAACCAAGAAACAAACTCTTCACTGTAGAGAACAAACTGAGGGTGACCAGAGGGGAGGTAGGGTGAGGGGATGGGTAAAATCATGATGGGGATGAAGGAGTGCACCTGTAATGAACACCAGGTGTGGTATGAAGTGTTGAATCACTAAATTGTACACTAGTATTACACTGTATGTTAACTAACTAGAATTTAAATAAAAACTTTTTAAAAATACACATATAAAAAAAAATCCTGTTTTCAGTTCTTTACTCATTAGTGGAATTGCTGGATCATATAATACTTACATTTTTAATTTTTTGAGGAACCTTCATACTGTTGTACATAGCTACCACACAATTTTACATTCCCACCAACACTGCACAAAGGTTTCAGTTTCTTCACATCTTTGGCAACATTTGATATGTGCTGTTGTTTTTTTTTATAATGGCTACCCTAACAAATGTGAGGTGGTATTTCATTATGACTCTGATTTGCATTTCCCTGGTGAGTAGTGATGTTAAACATCTTTATTATATATCTTTTGGTTATTTATATGTCTTTGGAGAAATGTCTGTTCAAGTCCTTTGCCAATTTTTTAATCAGCTTATTTGTTTTTGCTGTTGAGGCATAGGAGTTCCTTATATATTTTTGATATTAACCCCGTATCAGATATTGGTTTGCAAATATTTTCTCCCATTCTGTAGACTGCCTTTTCATTTCATTGATCGTTTCCTTTGCTGTGAGGAAGCTTTTTCATTTGACGTAGCGCCCCTTGTCTTTTTTTGCTTTTGTTGCCTGTGGTTTTGGTGCTGTATCCAAAAATTATTGCCAAAACTAAAGTTATGAAGCCTTTCCTCTATGTTTTGTTCTTCAAGTTGTATAGTTTCAAGTCTGAAGTGTAAGTCTTTAATCAATTTTGAGTTGATTTTTGTGTATAGTGTAATGGTCCAACTTCATTCTTTTGCATGTGGATAATCCAGTTTTCCCAAAACCATTGGTTGAAGAGACAATGCTTTCCTCATTATGTAGTTGTGGCACCTTGTCATGAATCATTTGATTCATGTATATTTCTGGGTTCTCTGTTCTGTTTGTATATATGTCTGTCTATATGCCAAAGCCATGCTGTTTTGATTACTGTGGCTTTGTAATGTGCTTTCAAGTCAGGAAGTGTCATGCGTCCAGGGTGTTTTCCTTTCTCAATATTGCTTTGGCTATTTGGGGCCATTTGTGGTTCCATATGAATTTAAGGATGATTTTTTTCTAATCAAAAAATACCATTGGAAGTTTGATAGGGATTGCTTTAAATCTGTAGATCACTTACGTAGTATGAACTTTTAACAATATTAAGTCTTCTAATCCATGAACACAGGAAATTTTTCCACTTTTTTGTGTCTTCTTTAATTTCTTTCAGCAATGTTTTATAGTTTTCAGTGTACAAGTCATTCATCTGCTCGGTTAAGTTTATTCCTAAGAATTTTATTCTTTCTGATGCTAAGTGAATGGGATTGTTTTCTTAATTTCTTTCCAGATTGTTCATTGTAAGTATATAGAAGCACACTGATTTTTTTATGTTGATTTTGTATCCTGCAACTTTGCTAAATTCATTTATTAGTTTTAATTTTTTGTGGACTCTTCAGGATTTTCTATATATAAGATCATGTCATCTACAGAGATTTCTTCCTTTTATTTCTTTTTCCTGCCTAATTGTTCTGCCAGGACTTCCAGTACTATGATGAATAGGAGTAATAAGAATGGGCACTCTTGTTTTCTTCCTGATCTTAGAGAAAAAGCTTTTAGGTTTTCACCATTGAGTATGGTATTAGCTATGGACTTATCATATATGGCCTTTATTATGTAAAGTAATTTCCTTATATTCCTAGTTTGTTAAGTCTTTTTATAATGAAATAATGTTGAATTTTGTCAAATACTTTTTCTGCATCTGTTGATTGTGTGATCCTTATCCTTTGTTTTGTTAATGCGGTGCATCACATTGATTTATTTTTTATGTTGAACCATCCTTGCATCACAGGAATAAATCCCACTTGGTCATGGTATATAATTCTCATAATTAAATGTGCTGTTAAGCTTGGTTTGCCAGTATTTTATTGAAAATTTGCATCTTTATTCATCAGGTATATGAGCTTGCAGATTTTTTTTCTTTTAATGTATTTTCCTGTCTTTAGTATCAGGAAGATGCTGGCCTCAGAGAATGAGCTTGGAGTATTCACTCCTCTTCAGTTTTTTGGAAGATTTTGAGAAGGGTTGATATTAATTCTTTTTTAAATATTTTGTAGAATTCTCCTGTGAAGCCATCTGTTACTTGGCTTTTGTTTGTTGGGAGGTTTTTGATTACAGATGCATTCTCTTATTATTCATCTGTTCAGATTTTTTATTTACTCATGATTCCCTCTTGGTAAGTTGTTTGTTTCTGGGAATTTATCCATTTCTTCAGGGTTATCCAGTTTGTTGGTGTGTAATTATTCATCGTTATCTCATAATCCTTTTTATTTCTGTGGCGTCAGTTGTAATGTCATCTTTCATTTCTGATTTTATTTGAATCTTCTCTCTTTTTTTTAGTTAGTGTAGCTAAAGGTTAGTAATTTTGTTGATCTTTTCAGAAAACCAACTCTTAGTTTTACTGATTTTTTCCTAATGTTTTTCTGTTCCCTATTTTATTTCCATTCTAGTTTTTATATAATTTTAGTCTTGCTGCTAACTTTGGACTTAGTTGGTTCTTCTTTGTCTAGTTCCATGAGGTATAAAGTTACACTGTTGCTTTGAGATCTTTCTACTTTTTTAGTAAAAGTTTTTCGAGCTATGAACTTCCTTGTTAGTACTGCTTTTGCTACATCCTATAAATTATGGTATATTATGTTCCATAGTCTCAAGACTTTTTCTAAATTTTTTAATTTCTTTTTTGAACCATTTCTTCTTTGAAACGAAGAGTACATTATTTAATTTGCACATACAGTTGCAACATGGGGACTCGGGGTGCCAGCCCCTGACGCAGTTGAAATCCATTCATAATTTTGACTCCTCCAGAATTTAACTATTAGCCTATTGTCAACCAGAAGCCTAACTGATAAGGTAAACAGTTGACTAATGCATATTTGTATGTTATATGTATTTATATACTGTATTTTTATAACAACATAAGTTAAAGAAAATACTATTAAGAAAATCATAAGGAAGACAAACGTATTTACAGTACTATACATATATTTATTGAAAAAAATTTGCATAGAAGTAGACCTATTCAGTTCAAACCCATGTTGTTCTAGAGTCAGCTGTATTTCTGAATTTTCCATTCCATTGTGTTTGGAAAAGATAATTGGTATGATTTCAATCTCCTTAAATTTGTTAAGATTTTTTATTTGTGATCTAACTATAATCTATCCTGGAGAATATTCCATATTTACTTGAGAAGA